CACTGTCCTGGTGCTTGACAGTCTGCAGGATGAGTCTGTGTTGCAGACCTTTCTGCTCCATACGGTACCGCAAGGCTCCAGGTTCCACCTGGCCCTCTGGCTCAGTACACTTGAGCTCTTCTCCATTAAGGAACCAGATGCCCTGGATGATGGTGGAGAGATCGAGGGAGAAGATGGCATCTTCCCCGTCATATACCTGCACATCCTCCAGACCTTTTACCAGGCGAGCTGTGGGGACTGAGACAGGAATAGAGTGTGTCATCAGAACTCGAAAGTGAAGCCTTTGGCAGGGACTGGCAGATGGAAGGACAGGGCCTAAAGGCCAGGGAAAGGAGGTGATGGGATGGCACAACTTGGGGTACAGAGACTAATAGCCAGGATCTGGCAGGTCTGACTCACCAAGGTGAGCAGAACCATGGAACACGATATGTGGACTGCGACCATGTTCACTGACTGTGCAGATGCGGAAGCGGTAGTCACCCTCGGCGGGCACGCAGTCCCCTGGCACCTCCACAGCTCCTGCTTTCTCAATGCTGAAGCACTGGATCCAGTCTTCAGAGCCTACCTCCTGCCGTTCCAGCCGGTAGATGAAGGAGGTCTCAGGAGGTGGCTCGGGAGGCTTCCAGGTCAAGAGGACCGTGTTCTTTTGGCCCTTGAACATCTCAGCCATCACAGGGGGTCCTGGAGGATTGTGCTTGATGCCTGAGACAAAGGTAGAATCTGCACCTGAGACTTGCTCAAGCCCTCCACAGCTCTTCCACATTAAATCCATTTTGCCATCCAAGGTGCTGACATCTCGCCACCCTCCCACCCTGGCCATTCTGCCCAGAGGCCTTCATGCACTCACATTTTACTCTAAGCAGAGTGGTCGTACGGGAGTTGCCTAGGTTAAAGGTAACCTCGCCAGCATCTTCTCGGGTCACCCCTGGAAGGACCAGGGCATGCATGTGGCCACAGCTGCTTTGGCAGGTGGCTGGCAGCTCTTCCCCATCGCGGCTCCAATGCCCCTCTACCCCAGCCTCTCTCGTTTCCACCAGCAGCACGGCATTCTCCCCCTCCAGGACATCGAGCTTCCGGGGCAACCGCTTCAAGATGGGCCCTGAGATGTGGACAGGAATCCATCAGCCCAGGGTCTAGCATCTGCCAGCCTCAGCCTTGGCCTCCTCCCACTGGCCGGCGGACCTTTGACTGTCACGTTGGCCACGGTGCGCACCCGGCCCCGCATCTCGCACAGGTAGACACCATCATCATCTGCCTTCAGCCTATGGATGATGAGACGCCTGACGGTGCCCTCCTCAATCTGCTCGTACTTGCGGCAGGGCAACAGTCTTTGGTCCTCACGGAACCAGGCCGTAGGGATTCGGGAGTTGGGTACTTTACACTCCAGCACAACAATTCCGTGCTCCCGGCCTTCCACATCCTGCAGGGGCCTTGTGAATCGGAGGCGAGGCTCTATGGAGAGAGGAGAGCAAAGAGAAGGCTCTGGAGAGGGGCTGGCCCCAGAGGAGGACTCCTAAACACACAGTAGCTCATGCTGCTTGCTTTTTCCAGAGCCAGTAAACAGGTGGAATCACAGCAAAACCCCAGAGGGAAATGGATGACCTAACTTCTCATCTAACCCTGATGCTCAATAATCACATCACCTTGAGCAAGTCCATTTGAATGTTCCTATGCCTCAGTTTCCTTATTTGTAAAACACAGAAAAGGAAGCGAGAGGATGGACCACATCAGTGATTTTTCAAATTGTTCCCTGGGATTTCTCAGAGGCACTTCACAAATTCTGCCAGGGCTTGAGTTAAATGTCATTTTAAAAGAATTCTAACCATTTTCAAAACTGTATTTCAAAACTAGGGAACAGGTTGCTGGAAACGACCAGAGGGTTAAGTTGGGTTGCTGGAGAAGCAAGCTTTTGTGCTCCTCTGGGAAGTTCCTCTTGCCCTCCCTCTGGGCTTTTCTTTCTTGACAGGGTTCCAGTTCAGCATGGGCCTGGCAAGTTTGCACACATCAAGCTGTGCCTGTGAGGCCACTGCCACAGCCTAGGTGCCACACAATTGGTTGCATGCCAGGCAGGGGTAAGAAAATTTGCCAACGTTTTTTCCTCTGAGGGAGAAAGTTAGACACTAACTGGCATCTGTGTAATCCTTTGAATTATGATGAAACCCTATTATGGAAACCTTTAGCTTCCAGGGTGTTTGGAGTGTGTTTTTGGTTTTCTGTGCTTTCTGGGTAATGTAAGACTTGATTAAATGTTACTGGTGATTCTACTCAGAAATATAAATGTTCTTTCCTTCACCTTTCTCTTCTTTTAAACCTGAGGAGCAGTTTAATGAAAGTACAGTAAAAAATTGTGGTGTATTTTTCCTCCCCGCCAACTGTTTCTCCTGTGAATGGGTTGTTTCCCCAAAGCAATGTCTGCAGGGGCCGCCTACCCCACAGGTTCAAGGACCAGAGGGGTATAAATACAGCTTCACTCAAAATGTGTGTATTCAATACAACAGTCCCTGTTCTCACTGTTGAGCCCTGTAAATTCATGTTGTAAATTCTGATTTAGTAATCTGTATTCATAAAATGCTCCTTTTATCTTACAAATTGGGGCTATTCACGGGGAATTCAGTGGGGGAAGAAGACAAAAAGCAAAGGTTGAAAACCCCTGGAGTTGAAGAGTTCTAGAACTCCCAAGGTTTGCACATCAACCACTCCTTAGTGGTTTTCCACCATCTGCCTCAGAATCAGAGTTTGCTAAGAAGCTCCCAGAATACCCTGGAGACCCACTAAATCTGCATCCCTGGGGGGGGGGTGGGAGGCGAGCAGGAAATAGTACTACTTCCCCTCCCCCCAAGTCTTCTGGGCAGCACTGGACACGGAGAAAGCAGGAGTAACGGAGGGCCTCGGAGGGCTCTGGGGGCCAGTCCCTAGCCCCGGGACGCCCAGTGGGCGCTACCTTTGACGTGCAGCTGCACGGCGCTGAGAGTCTGGCCCGCCGAGTTGCGCGCTGCGCAAACGTAGAGCCCGCGGTCCTTGGCCTGGCAGTAGAGCACCTTGAGCACAAAGCCGCCGTCGCGATCGCGATACATGAGGCGGCGACGGTCGGGGAGCAGCGGGCGGCCCTCCCAGTGCCATTCGATCTCGGGCTCAGGCTTGCCCATCACGTAGCAGCGGAACTTGGCGTGCTTGCCCTCGTTCACCCAGAAGGTCTTGGGCGCGCACTTGAGCGGCTCCACTACGGGCGTGGGGGTCTCGTCGGGGTCCTCCGGCGGGCTCTCCGGGGGCTGATGCACCTGGAGCAGCGCGCCGGCCTGCGCGTGGCCGTGCGCGTTGCGGGCGTGGCACACGTAGACGCCCGAGTCCGGCAGCCGTGCCGCCAGGATGCGCAGCGCCAGGCTCACGCCCGTGCCCCCGGCGGCGCGGCCGGGCTCCAGCGCAAAGTGGCTGCTGTCCCACACCTCATCCAGGGCCATCCCATCCTTCTCCCAGTACAGCGTGGGCTCGGGAAGGCCCCCCACCTGGCACATCAGCACCACTTCCGCCCCCCGCAGCACCCACTGGGAGCAGGGCCCCGTCAAAAACACCGGAGCGCCCTCCCCGCTCCCCGGCGGCGGCAGCGGGCGCTCGGCAGGCTGGGGCTCGGGCTCGGGGGCGGGCGGCTCCAGCACAGTGACGGCGGCCGCTGCGTAGGCCTCGCCGGCCGCGTTGCGGGCGCGGCACACGTAGACCCCGGCGTCGGTGGGCAGCGCGCCGCTAAGCAACAGGCCGTGCTCGGCGCCGTCCGCGGGGAAGCTCAGGCGCTCCGAGGCCGCCAGCTGCTGCCCGCCTTTCTCCCACACAACAATGGGCGGCGGCTCCCCCAGGACCACGCACTTGAGCTCGGCCTCGGCGCCACTTACCACCCGCACCGGCCGCGGGAAGCGCAGGAAACACGGGGGGCTCCCCTGGTCCCCCGAGCCCGCCTTCATTGCTGTGGCTGGAGATGGCTCGCCGGGGAGCGGGGGAAGGGCGGGTGGCAGACACGCCGAGGCCGGGAGAGCGGCGGGAGGCCGGGAGGCGGGAGCTGTGGGAAGCGATCGCGGGGACCCGCGTAGCTCTCTCCTGGCCGCTCGCTCCTCGCTTGCCTCCTTACCCTCGCTCGAGCTGCAGCTTTGTGGCGCGCCGGAGATTCCCGGGCCCCGAGCCCAGCGTTCAGGGGGCAGTCCTTCCTGTTTGCCTTTCCAGCGAGGGGCCCCGCAGCCTCCTCTGCCTGCGGCCTGGCTTCCTGCTCTCGGGAGCCTCTCTTCCCAGCCCCCTCCCACAGCCTGGGCCTCTTTCCCCTCCTCCTTCCCACCTCCAGCCGCCAGGTCCCCAACGGCCGGCCAGGCTTGGGCCTGAGTGGCAGAGGCGCCTGCAGCTGCCAATCCCAAAAATATTCTCTGATGACACAGCTGGAGGACAAGAGCCCAGACTGGCTCCTCCAGGCTAAGTATAGAGCAGGCAGGACCACCTGCCCCCCGCCGGAGCCCCAGTTCTAGCCCTTCCTCCCACGTTATCCCAGCAACTGCTTGGTTGAAAGGGGCCCCAGAAGGTCTGAGGGGGGGGGCTGGTGTATTCTGTCTCCCAGACAAATGACACTTTCAAGAAGCTGGCCAACCCAAGCTCCCAGGCTCCTGTCCCCACCTGATGTCACCTTTGTGTTGAGTGCTGGGATGTGAACACAGGGTGCATGTGTAGGGGGAAAGGGTTGTATGCTTGTATGCATGGGTCAGGTCACTCGGGGTGAACACCCTCCCCAGCCCCGTCCCCCACATTCTTGGCGGGAGTGGGAGATAAGGCTCAGGGCCACAGACGTCTGCGTCAGAGATAGGTCTCAATGCCATGAGCAGGGGCAACTCAGACTGCAGGGCGTGGGAAGGACTGGGGAGGACTGGGTGAGAAGGGTAGAAGAGGGCGGTGGTGGGATGGGGAGGGGAGAGTGGAGAGGCCCTGGGCAGACCGGGACAGAAGGGGCACAGGGCAGAGTGTGGGTTTCCAGTTGGCAGGGCAAGGTGAGCTATGGTACCCCAGCTGCACCTGCTGCTGCTCTTGCTGTTGGCCCCACAGGGTGGGCATGGCTGCCACGGGCTGGAGCTGGACCGGGAGCTTGTTCTGGCCAAAGTGAGGGCCCTGTTCCTGGATGCCTTGGGGCCCCCAGCAGTAACCCGGGAAGGTGGGGGTCCTGGAGTCAGGCGGCTGCCACGAAGACACGCCCTGGGGGGCTTCATGCGCAGGGCCTCTGAGCCAGAGAAGGAGGATGTCTCCCAGGCCATCCTTTTCCCAGCCACAGGTAATGAGGTGGGGAACTGGCATTGTGACTTTGAGAAGCAGGCTAGTACTGTGTTGGCCTGGGAGCCAGGCTGACCTGGGTTTGAATCCCAGCCCCACCGCTCAGCTAACTTTGCAACAATGGGCCAAGCTTCTGACTCCTCATGTGTCAAATGGAGTACAGCTCCTCCCTCTCAGGATTGAGTGAGCTGGTGTACCTAGAGTGACAGGCACATGAGAGGCATTTGGGAGACCAAGGATCTCCAGAGATAGAAATGTTTGAGCTTGGGCCCCTTCCTACCATCTTCCTTCCTATCTTTCTGTTTTATTTCCTGTTCCTGTCCCTGTTTCTTTAGCTCCAGGTAGGTGAGAGGATATGGGGGATGTAGGAGAGTCCATCTTCTCTTGAGTTCCTTTCTCACCTTCTTATGTGTTCCCCCTTGTTCTACTGACTGAGTGAATAAAGCTCTCCTCCTGGTGGGCTTTCTCCTTCTCTGACCCACCTTGCTCTTGAAGAGGACCCCCTTCTTCCTGACTTCAGCCCCAATGCAGCATAGTTGGGGAAAGAATGGTTTTGGAATCATGTCGAATCCCACCTGGCCACTTAGAAGTTAAATGTCGTTTCATCTCTCTAAGCCTCAGTTTTCTTTAATCTGCAAAACAGATTCATTATTACGACTGTATGAGAGGAACTGTGTAACCATATAGTCCGGATTGCTAGTCCTTTGACCAAGGCTGCCCCATAAATATTTACTGTAGTGTATATGTGTCAGGGCAAGGATGCCAGCTGCACTTTCTTGGGAAGCACTGGCCTCTTTTTCTCCTTCTCCTCCTCCTCCTTCCCTTTCCTTCTTCTCCTCTCCTCCTCCCTCTTCTCATTTTTCTTTTTGGTGTACACAGCATTCAAGATACCACTTCACACTAACATAAGTGTTGGGGAAGGTAGAGAGTGACAGGGACTCTTACACGTTGCTGTTTGGAATATTAATAAGTAAGACTGCTTATGGGAGAACTTGGCAATGTTATATTTTTTAAGTGCTTTAATGATGAATGAAAAGTCGGGGAGCCTATGTCAGTTCTCCCAAGACTCGGGAGAGTCCCAGGTCTGGGAAGGTGCTCAGAAGAATGCTTGGCAGATCATCAGCACTCCTGAATGACATCCTTCCTGTTGACTGCTGGTCAAGCCTGCCCTCTCTGTTTCCTTCTGTCTCCTGCAGGTGCCAGATGTGAGGATGAGCCAGCTGCTAGAGGGCTCGCCCAGGAGGCTGAGGAGAATCTCTTCACTTACGTGTTCCGGCCATCCCAACACATGCACAGCCGTCAGGTGACTTCAGCCCAGCTGTGGTTCCACACAGGACTAGACAGGAAGGACATGGTGGCCTCCAATAGCTCAGGGTCCCCAGTGGGCCTGCTGGTGCTGTCATCTGGGGGGCCGATGGCTGTGCCCATGTTCCTAGGCCAGGCACCCCCTCGCTGGGCTGTGCTGCACCTGGCTGCCTCTGCTCTCCCTCTGCTCACCCACCCCATCTTGGTGCTACTGCTACACTGTCCTCTCTGCACCTGCTCAGACCAGCCTGAGACGACACCCTTCCTGGTGGCCCACACTCGGGCCAGACCAACCAGTGGGGGAGAGAGAGCCCGACGCTCAGCTTCCCCAGTGCCCTGGCCTTGGTCTCCCGCTGCTCTGCGCCTGCTGCAGAGGCCACCAGAGGAACCTGCTGCCCACGCCTACTGCCACAGAGCCTCACTCAACATCTCCTTCCAGGAGCTGGGCTGGGACCGGTGGATTGTGCATCCTCCCAGTTTTATCTTCCACTACTGTCATGGTGGCTGTGGACTGCCAACCCCACCAGATCAGCCCTTGCCAGGCCCTGGGGTTCCCCCAACCCCTGTCCAGCCTCTTTCCTTGGTGCCAGGAGCCCAGCCCTGCTGTGCTGCCCTCCCAGGGACCATGAGGCCCCTCCATGTCCGCACCACTTCAGATGGAGGTTATTCTTTCAAGTATGAGACCGTTCCCAACCTTCTTACGCAACACTGTGCTTGTATCTAAAGTGGTCTTGCTTCCTTCTCCTACGGCACCCCCATCATCAGCTGGGAAGGAAAAACAGAATGTGCAAAAGAGATGGCTCCCACTCCCCCTTCCTTTCATGTCTCTGCCTGGGGCTTTTCTCCCATTCCACCCGGTCCCATGGATAACATGTGATGACAATAAAGAACACAGTGCATATGATTTGGTGTGTATTCTCTGGTTTCTCTGATATGGCATTGGGGAGCTTGTGGGATTTCAGGCCACTCAGTTGCACTTGACCTCAGAGATATGGAATCCATGAGCTATAATTGGGTATGTATCTGCTGGGAAGCTACAAAGCTGTCCCAAAGCTACTCTGGAGATAGAATTGATCTCTTACAAGCTGAACCTGACATGTCAGTCAGGCTGCCTGACCTGCCACACCTAAAAGAAACTACTACCCTTATCCAAGGTGGCCTTAAGTCCCCTTCCCTGCTGTTCTCTGCTCTTGTTGATGGACACCTAGCTCAAGGTCAGGGAAATAATAGCTTTTCCAGACTTTTGAGTCTGACTGAGACAGTTGCTCAGATTTGGTCAGATCTTGGGGTCTTTTGGGAGTTTGACAGGGAAGAAAGGGACAGATGTATGACCTTGAAATGTCAGGAAGAAATTGACAAAGGATAAAGAGATGGCATCATGTTGAGCTCAGGTCACCAGAATAAAGACCTAAGATTTTCAGTTTGCTGAGTGTCCCGAGTCTGCTTTGCCTCCATCATTGGCTCTTGAGCTAGACTCCATGAGGACTCAATGAACTGGGCTCTGGCTCTCAAATTCTTGGTTTCCTTGATTCCTGCCCCCCAATATAGCTTTACATAACCCTTAACTTGGTATTTAATATCATGAGGGTGGAAAGATGGCCCACCCCATTGGGAAAAAGTATACTCTTTCATGAATTGTTTCACACACCTCATATACATGCCATGAGTGCAGGGCAGGTTATCAAACTGTCCTTTTCTTTTTTCTTTTGTTTTTAATTAAGCTATAGCACCCTGTAGTCACAGATAGTCTCCCACTGAAGTACTAACCAGGACTGACCCTGCTTAGCTTCCAAAATCAGACACAATCGGGTACGTTCAGAGTGGTATGGCTGTAAACCAAATACTCCTTTTCTTTTCCCATTCATTTCCTATTAGTCTATTTTGCCTCCAGAATCAGACATCCGGAAGTCCTCTTCTCTGGCCTTCCTCACTGCTCTCGTTCCATCCAGTCTGTGTGTGTGTGTGTGTGTGTGTGTGTGTGTGTGTGTGTGTGTGTGTGTGTGTGTGTGTGTGTGTAGGGGGAGGGAGGGCTGGGATGTTCAGTCTGTCAGACTGAAACCTGAGAGCACTTTCAGAATTTGACTGCACAACTCCAGTGTGTATTTGTGCTAGCAGAATCTGTGACTTGGCAAAGGCTCCCTTCTACCAGCCCAGCTGGATAGGACGGGTGAGTAAGCTTCTGCCCTAGCACAGGAGTGTGGAGGAGAAAGACTCAACATTTCTCACTCATGTTAACACCCTTCCCCCAACCTGAGCAAACCTGAAGGAGCTACTGTTCCAGGCAGCACAGGGGCCCCCCAGAGCAGCCCCAGTGCATGCTCCCACACAAGCCCTGGGCTGTGTTCACACTGAGCCTCCAGGAGGCTGTGCTTCTCTGGGTGTGGGGGTAAGGAAGGGGGTTGCTTTCTTTCACAGTCTGGAGTCTCTCCCAGAACCTTCATCCCCATCTAGAATTGGAACCACTCTGTGCAGGGCTCCAGGGATCCCTGTTCAGGCCATGGACTGAGGAAAGGGCTGCATGGGCTCAGCCAGTGAGGAGCTGAGGGATTTCCCTTAAAGCTGTCTGAGTTCCCTTGTTCTTTGCCTGGCTTCCTGGCCAGATCCTCCATGCCCAAACAGAAAGGCCTTTCTCTAGGATCATTGTTCTTCCTGCTGGGGTCCTCTAGTTCCTGTGCTACTAAGGAGGTGAAGCAGCTTTGAGGACTAGGGCCAGTCTAACCAGGGCCACAGGACTCTCCAGTTAGCAGATGGCTGTGCATGTAAAAAGTTTTTTCACGTGTCTGAGACAGTGAGAAAAGTGAGTACAATGTAAGTCTTTCATAATGTCAATGTATTTATTTTAAAGGGCTGTTTTTTTCTTTGAGGAAGCATCTCAATATGTAACCCAGGCTGGCTTCAAACTTCTGATCCTCCTGCCTCATCCTCCCAAATCCTGGGATTAATCATGAATCAGCATGAATCAGCATACCGTCTCTGTTCTTTACTTATCCTTCTTTTTTTTTTGGTGGTACCAGGGGTTAAACTCAGGGCCTTGTGCTTTCTAGGTAGGTGGCTCCTTGTGCCACACTCCCAGACCTTTTTGCTTTTGTTGTTTTTTCAAATAGGGTCTCGACTTTATGCCTGGGTGGCCTGGATCATGATTCTCCTTATTTACACTTCCCAAGTAGCTGGTATGCCAGGCACAGGCTACCATGCCCAGCTTTTTATTGGTTGAGATGGGGTCTCCCGGGCTGGTCTTGAACTTCAGTCCTTTCAATCCCTGCCTCATGAGTAGCTAGGATTACAGGTGTGAGTCTCTATGCTCTCTGGCTCTGTTATTTAGTCTGAAGTTTCTCTCTCTCTCTCTCTCTCTCTCTCTCTCTCTCTCTCTCTGTCTCTGTAGAACCCCAATCTGGGAGTCATAGTTCCAGGCCACCACTTTTAGGATCTCTGAATCCTTAATTTTGCTAACTTGGAAATCAGAACGCTATGTCCATCCCTCCCTAGAGAGGAGGGCAACAGTGGCTAAGGACATCTTTTTACCCTTCCTCCTCACCATGAGACCAACATGAGACCAACAAGGGCAGTGGATTTTACTTATGTTTCCTCTTCCCAGTGCTCATCAGTAAAGACATTCTGTGGTGCTCTTAATTCGGAGTCAGTTTAAACAGAAAACCCAACTCAAACTGGATTGAATCATAAATGAATAAATAAATGAATAACTGGCTCATCGGCTCATGGCAAGTCCATGGGCACAGCTGGCTAAGGTATGACTTGATACTAGGTTCAGAAAATGCTACCAGGTTCCATCCATAGGCTCTGCTTTCCCCAGGCCAGCTCCATCCAAGGCCCATGATGACTGTGGGCAGCTCCAGACTCCCACCATCATGTCACTTGGTTCAGCTGGAGGGAGTTGGCTTACAAAAGTCTCAAGATATTGGCCTATTAGGGTTATGTGCTCTTCAGGAAAGGTGACCTGAGGAACAGAATGAGCTAATGACTTAGCCCAGATCACGTGTCCTACTCTTGGAGCCAGGAGCCTGACGCACTGTATTAATCAGTTTTGCGTTACTACAATGAAATAACTGAGGCAGCTAGCCTATAAGGAGAAAAGTTTTATGTCACTCACAGTTTTGGAGGCTTTAAAGTAAAAAATTGGGTGGGCCTCTGGTAAGGGCAGAGGATGGTGGCATATCACAGTAGGAGCACCTGTAGGTGCAAATGATCACATCTTGAACTGGAGCAAAGAGAAAGAAAAGACCAAGTTCTCACAATTCCCTTTGAGGGCACACCCCCAATGAACTAAGGGCTTCCCACTAGATCAAAGCACCTCCTAATACCATCCAACATGGAGACTGCTGGGGGATACTCAACATCCAAATCACAGCAAGGTTAAGGGCTGCAGGTAGAAAAAGGGTGCTTTTGCCAAGGCAGGGGACAGTTGCCACAAAAAGGTGGGGTAGATGCTGAGGGATGCGTACTGTTGACTTTTAATCATCTCTCAAATCAAGTGCATTCTTTTTCCCTACACAGACCCTGTTTTGCAACTTAAAAAAACAAAACAAAACAAAAAACAGGGTCTAACTGTATAATCTCGGCTGTCTTCAAACTTGTGATCTACTCAGTCTTCTGGGTGCTGGGACTACAAGTGTGATTTATCACTTCCAGCACTATTTTTTCAATTCTTCATTGGGCGATTCCCAGTCTCCTTAACCAATCTCAAAGCAGTCATTCCTTGCTCCTCCATCCATCCTTCATATGGTTGCCAAGTTTCTCTCTGGGTGGTCATGTCCACACAGAGTTCACCTTTCTTTATGTGGTATAAAAGGCTTTGGCAGGAATGGGGGCATGGCTCAAGTGATAAAGCACTTGCCTAGCAAGCTTGAGACCCTGTGTTCAATTCCCAGTACCATAAAAAGAAAAAAAAATCATTTAGCAATCAATCCTAAACCCATTCTTCTTTTGCTCTTCCCACCTGCTATGGTGTCAATGCTGATATCCTTCCAAACTTCCAGTGTTGGAATTTATCCTCCAAGGCAATGGTAGTAAGAGGTGGCCTTGCCTGGAATGGTGGATCACAACCTGTAATCTCTGTACTTGGAAGGCTGAGGCAGGAAGATTGTGAGTTCCAGGATAGCCTGGGATACATAGCAACACCCTGTTTTCAAAAAACCTAAGAAAAACAAAAACAAAAAACCCCAACCAAACAAAAAATAAACAACAAGGAGGTGGATTTTTAGGAGGTTATTAGTTCACATGGTTCTGTTATTACAGCTCATATTCATATGATGCAGGCACTAATATTACACCCATTGTATAGATGGAGAAATTAAGGCACGAAGAGATTAAATAACATAACTAGAGTCACATCCTTGGCAAGTGGTGGAACCCAGATTTGGTCTTCAGAAGTCTAGTTCAAGTTCACAGGTCTGTGTACCTCCCTCTACAACATTCCTCTGTTCTGTCTTCAAATATGCTTCCTAAAGAGATGAAACTACTTGTGTTTGTTGTTGAAGAGGGCAGTCTGACCCTGGGGCAGTTCCCAGAGATGGTAGTTGCTTTTAGTCTTTGAAATTTCTTATTCTTTTAATGTTTCTTTTTTTTTTCTTCTCCCCTCCCACTTTCTGCCTATTTTGCTATATATCTTTTGTTGCTGTTAAAGTTGTTTTGTTTTTCTTTGTGTGTGTGTTTTTCAGGCAGGGTCTCTCTGTGTAGCCCAGGCATGCCTCAAACTCTCAATCCTCC